AGTTGAGACTTGGAAAATAATGAAGCAACACAGAACGACAGACGAGAGGTCTAGCAATACGATGTGGCCCGCTCCTCTCTATGTCCTGCTCTACATAATGATAATAATAACAATAATAATTTATAACATAACAATAATAGTGATATGAGAAGTAGAAGAAGTAACAACAACAACAACAACTACAATAACAACGACAACAACAACAGCAACAACAACAACAACATAATACGTGTATGTATACTATTTGCAGGGCGAGTCAAGCACTCGATAGTCGCTTAGTCAACACTAGGCCTAGATGTGAGTTTGTGCATGCCCTACGATTTGATCAATACTGTAGTTTATTAGTTTTTCAGGATCAATGTGGTTCAAGGAATGTTCATAATCTTACAAGCTCACAATACGCGTTGATGTTTGCCAGATTGTTTTCTTTCCCTTTAGTTTAGTCATTCCTGTCGATAACTCTGTAGATTACATACTTATATGGTTTACGAAAGGAAGTGAACCCCCCCCCCCCCACACACACAAAACAGGTGTGGGCTGGATATGGTAAAAGTATACGACATGTACTTTACTGAGAGTCAGGAGCCCAGATGAGGGGTGGGGCAAAGTAGGTGAGGGGGTGGCGGCAGAAAGTGGAGACGACAGCAGACGGCAGAACATTGTTAGAGAGCAGGAAAGGAGAAAGATTTTAGATTTAGAGAAGAAAATATCTTTTCTAATAACAGTGGTCCCTGCGTGGTTGACAGAATTTCACAAAATACTTTAAAAAATTTTTACTGTGTGCTAATGGTACTGACTGCCCAAGTTGAAAAATGCCCTAACTGAACAGAAACTTAACATCGGAGCCTCTTGCACAAACAATGCTCCCTTACGACAATGCAGCTACTACTGACAAAGAAAGAGCCACAGTGCTGTGCAGACAACAGTAAAAGGATCCAAGTTTTTGCCCCATCCAGTCCACATTCCTGACTTAGCTTCCTTTGATGAACGCATTCAGAACCTAGCGAAAGCTGTCAATCCGCGGCCGTGTTTACCAGAAGGGACGGTGGAAGATGGAATCCTGTTGTTCTTATACAAATTAATCGAAGAGAGAGAATGTTTCAATCGTCCGAGAAATTGTCAGGCCCAAACCATCATTTAAGGGGGGGGGGGGGTATTTCATTCTGTTTAGTTTTGTTTTATTTTGCCTGTTTATCTTTAAATATTTCCCAACTCCAATTACTTTGTGACCTACCCTTGTAGTAATAACAATAATGATGATGATGATGATCAATGAGACTTACAAGGGAGTCGTTCTGTCATTCTACATGTACAAAGGAGTGTTTCTGGATATTCCATATTTTGCTTTGATTATGGCTTTTAATTTTCTATCTGTGGATCACTGTACGCACTGTTACCAACTACTTAGGGGACCACTTCACATGGTCAATCAAAGTACAGAATTTATTTAGGTCGAATTCTGATTGATAAGTGTGACCCAGCACGCGGCTGTCCAGTGTCCAGTCATATCAACTCCAAATATTTAATTATGCGGCCACATTAAATTGTATGACATTCCAAAGCCACTAAATGCAGATAGGAATTCTCGAAGCAATTTTCGATATAGGCCTAAAAGCAACTCCAAAATATTTTACAAAACTAATGAGGCAGCCCGCAAGAAGATTGAGTTGTAGCTACTACCAGTTAAAGTCGGGAAATTGCTTGCCCAAGGGCATCCTTTTATAATGTCTGAGCAAGAGCCAAGCGAATCGCGCTGATTTATGGTGTAGCCTGCAAGTTGACCAAGGCCGGTCGCTGTTAATTGGTATGGGACTATTATAATAGTGAACAAGTTTCTTGTAGGGAAAGTACAGTCAAACTGTATAAGACGGTGATCCATTGTCTTTTAGAAAATTGGCCGTATTAGACAGGTTGCTGGCCTACACAGTGTCGTTACATGTATAATGTTTTAAAGAATCATAAGGGAGGAAATGGGAAGTGGCCGTTAGTACAGGTGGATGCTCTATACAGGTGGTCGCTAGAGCAGGTTCAACCGTGATGATAATATTCTTCATCCTTGTCGATTTCTGTTTTGTACGTGTATGTTTACTTTTCAGAAAGTCCAACCTCTCAATCGAATTCGATCTTGCAGACCCATCTTGTCGAATAAGTGTGCTCCTCACTTATCATGGGCCTTGAAGGCACGGGTGTAAGGTGCAGGCGAAGGTGTGTAGGAGGAGGATGTCCGGTCGCTAATTTCACAAAGGTCACTGGGTCCCGCTATAAGGTTACGTAGAGTGAGAATAGACGCTTCGCGTGACGGGACCTGACGTAACAGAACGATTAAGTCATGTATCCGCTAGCAAGTGATAATAGTAGAGTGTTGGAGTGCAAGAAAAGGGAATGGTTTGAAGTGGGAAAAACTGTTACG